GGGGTGGGGGGGGGGGGCTTCTTATAAATACAAAGGAGAAGAGAGAGAAATGGGTTAATTAAGAAACCCTTAATTGTGGATTTGGAGTTTAATTAATTATAGTTTGTAAGTATGACACTTTGACTTTGTTCCTCCTTGCTTGTGTGCGCGTGCGTGCCTTAACTTCTCGGCTGCTGTCGCTGACCCCCGGACTTTCACAACTTAAAGGGATTGTAACCAACATCTCTACTTCATCATCAACTCTATACATATTAACTCATCTAATTTCATTTTTCTTTAATAAATAAATAACACATTTTATCCACCACCACTTATTAATTAATAGAGGTAATACAATAATTATATCAAGAAAAATATTATGTACAATTCCACTTGTTTAACATCTACTTATTTATCTCCTAACTTTTATGCAACAAGTTGTTCATTTCAAAGTTTATTTAAATCTCTTAAGTAAAATTTTCATTTTTATATGATTCAAAAATAATATTTTATTAATGATGACTTAAATCAAATTTTTGCAAAAATTAATCATTAACAAAAACTGATGATACTTTATAATTATAACATCCTGACCAAAAAAAAAAATTTAAATACAATTTTTTGTTTTTTTATTGATATATATTTTTAATTATAATTATCTTCAAAAAAAATTTGTAATTAACTGAATCTTGTGTAAGATAATACCTTGTTTTAATTTAAATTTGCTTCATGACTTTAGTTTCACTAATATTCATACTAAATATTTGCATTAAATATGTATTTAAGTTATCATGGTGAAACCCTGATTCTATTTGGAAAATGATGTAAAAAATATGTAAGGATCATTTAAGTTTATTCCAATGCTTAACGTTTGTTTTTTTTTAAATGAAAATTTAAATTTAAAATAAAGTGAAAACTGTTTATTAAATTTTATTTATTCTAATTTAAAAGAGATGAAAAAAGAGAGAAATTATTATACAATTTGTTAGAGATTTCATATTAAATAAAAAATCATAATTATATATAAGTGAGAACAATGTTTATCTATTTTATAGTATTAAATTAAAATTAAATTTTTTTAAGATGGTATCAAAATAAATTCTAATAATTATCATTTGTTAATAAGTTTATCATCATGTCCTCTACTATTGAATCTAGACCATCTACACATACTTAAATCCTACGTGGATTAGAAACGATTTTGTAAGATTTTCAGATTATTTTATATCAATTTGTATTTGTAATCTCAATCAATCTTCATTTAATATATGTAGTTAAAAATTAAAATCTTTAATATAAAATGAAGAATTGATAAAATTAATTAATAAAGTTTTTTTTTTTTACGTCCTTCGAGTATCCACTACCAATAGGAATGATTAATCTTCTCGTCAGGTTGGAGGATTTAACGTGACCGTATACACAAAGCAGAATTCGAATCCTTGACCTTGCTTAAGTGTAGATCAACTCCTACCGCTAAACTACACGCTTGGGATTAATTAATAAAGTATATATTACACTAAACCAATATTCCTATCATAGTGAAGCATAGAATCGTTATGAATCCCTCACTCTGTTGTGCTAGTCTTGTACATGTGCAGACTTCTTGTTGTAGAGGCTATCTTCTTGTCGCAAGCCATGCAACCCGCATATCTTCTGAAGGCAAGCTATCTATGGGGTTATGTGCATGGATCTACTTTGCCTTATTTTTATTAATATTATTGTTTTTTATTTTAAATAATGATGTACTTAATTAATTTAATTATATTTTTAGTCTTATATCTTAATTTTTAGATTTAATTTTGTTTTTTATCTTTAAAAAATTTAATTTAATCCTTCATAAGGAGACTGATATCAACACTTGATGTTAAAAAATATATATTAATTGTTATTGAAAATATAAAGAACCAAATTGAACCTAGACAAAAATATAAATGACTAAATTGAAATTAAACATAATCAACTATATTATCTCGAATATAATTCACTACACCAAACGAACACACAACCAATTTCATGTGAGAAGTGGAATCAAATTAACAATACAATGAAACCTCTCATTTATTTTATTTTTTTGACAAATTTTAGTTAATTTTTAGGATGTAAAGTCTTTGTCGAGCTTTGTGCATATATATTAGGATGTGTAGTTTTATCTGTAGACTAATTTGATGTAACTATTTAATGTAACAATTTTAACAAATGGAATTTCATATGTTATAATATTACAAGAAAATTATTATATAGTGACACATATTCTATAGTAACATATAATAAGTGTCACTAAAAATTACTTTTATCTACATAATATATTAGTATATTTTTAAAAAATGTGGATATAAATTATAGTGACACACAAAATATATTATTAAAATTTATTAAAAATAAATACCAAAATTTTATATAATTATATGTCAAATAAATATATATTTACATATACTATATTTATAGTAATACTTTTTGTATATCATTATATGTAATATTTTTTGTAATTAACGTGATTTGTTGTCATGTAAGATTTAAACTTCATAAATTATTATACGATTGTAATTGTTTTTTACTATATTTGGTTTTGTTCAAAATTAATTATTTGTGTTTGAATATTTTTATATTATTTTTTATCTATAAAATAATAAATAAGAGATAATACCTTCATGATTATCAAACAAAAAGTCAATAAAACTGTTATATCATTTATATGTTATTTCAACTTCAATCATACCACTTAATGAAATTGTGTTAATACGTGGTTCAATTTTTTGTCATTTATATTTTAAAATAAATTCAATTTGATGCTTTATCTTTATAAATAAGTTTAATTTGCTCATTCATCTTTTCAAACAAGTTTAATTTGCTCATTCATCTTTTCAAATAAGTTTAATTTAGTGCATCCATGTTTTCAATAAGATTCAATTAATTTTATTTATTTATTTATCAAAATCTAAGATTGTGGACACAATTAATGGCCAAATCATTTTTTTTCAATATTAACCATTACATATGTTACAAAAAGAACCATTTTTAGTTATTTTTATAAATATATGAACTATCAAAAGTTGCCAGTGTAAAATGGTTCAATATTTGTGTTTTTTAACTCAGAATCAAAGTTTGATTCCTAATAAGTATGACAAAACGAGTTAGTTCAACTCGTTTAAATTTATTTTGCAAAAAATAGGTCAAATCGAATTGATTCATCAAATAAAAACAGGTTAGATATCCAAGCTCACTCCACCTAATGGTGGGTGGTGGACTATAATGAGTTAATTAACCTGCAAAAAAATAAAAATAAAAAAGAAAAAATTACATATTTATTTTAAACATATCTCTTTCAAGATATTTCTTTTTTAATATCTAAATGATTGCTATAAATTTGTGTAGCTAAATAATAAAATAAATCTTAATTTACAATAGATTTGAATTGGTTCACAACAAATTACATGTGATTATAATAATAATAACTCTTTCAACAAATTAATTTGTTGCAAATCAAATTATACAAATTATTCACATAAATTTCATGTAACTTATTTAAACTTAAAATTAAAAATATAATAATAATAATAACAACAACAAATTAATAAATAAATATAAATAAGTGACGAGTTGACTTAGTGAACAGGCGAGCTAACGAGTCAAGATGTTCAATCCAATTTATCAATTTTTAAGAGTCTGACTTATAAGTTGTGATTCGTTTTATCATTCATAATTATTAACTTATATATTAAGTTGGAAAAAAAATACTTTACTCTCAGAGAAAATGACCTATAACTAATAATATCAGCGAACTTGAATTCCAAATACTAATTTTTAAAAATTAAAAGAATTGAATTTAACTTTTAAGTCATACCGAATTAGTTGCACTGTATAAGTGATAAACAATAATATTATTATTATTATATATTTAACGTTTATAGACACACTGTATGGAAACATTCAATACATTATATCAAACACACCTGCTCTCTCTTGATTTTTAAACTATTTGTTGTATAGTTTTTTCTGTTTTGAAAAAAGGAAGTATTTTTCTTTAAAGATAGAAAAGATTACAAAGATGATCGTAATGAGGATTGAACCTAAATCCTCATACTTTTAACTACCCCAATCTCTCCCCACCCAACTACTAAGCTAACCCTAATGGTCAAAAGGAAGTGTTTTAAGCAATACTTGGAAATTAATTTTGTATCGAGGCTTAAAAATTATTGAAGTGAGATTTGGTTTTCTAATAAAATATTCTCAATACGTCCGATCAAAAAATCAAACATCTATCAACTTGTTTAAAAAAACTAAACTGTGAATTATTTACCATATATGCTTACCTTTGTTGATTTGTATTAAGATTATTGGTTTGTTGCAGAATATTTATCACTTAAAAATATTAATAAAAATTATTTTAAAAAATATTTACTTCTATCTTACCTAAGGCTCCTAAATAAAT